CCCTTTTCACTYTTTTCTGTAGTGGAGATTGAACCCAGGGGTACTTTACCACTGAGCTACATCCTGAGACCTTTTCACCTTTTATTTATTTATTTACTTATCTTGTGACGTTGGGGATTGAACCCYGGGCCTTGTGCTTGTGAGGGAAGCACTCTACCAACTGAGCTATATCCYCAGCCCCCCATCTTTCATTTTGAAATAGGGCCTCACTAATTTGCTTAGGACCTCACTAAGTTGTTGAGGCTGGCTTTGAATTTGCGATCCTTCTACCTCAGCCTCCTGAGCTGCTGGGATTACAGGCATGTGCCACTGCTCAAGGTGCTTTTTACTTTTTATTTTGAGACATATCTTGCTAAATTGCCCAGGCTGACCTTGAACCCTGATCCTCCTGCCTCAGACTCCTGAGTAGCTGGGATTATAGGCATGTGCCTCCACACTGTACCCACCTGGCTACATTCCTGTTTTTCTGAGCCTGTATGTTGGACATTAAACCACTTGACCTTCACACTTTACTTCATTAAATTCTTATAAAAACTCCGAACTGAAGTTATATTCATTTTAAGATTTCAGAGTTGGTAAGTAGCAGAGCTGGGCTGATATGATGCAGGGCACCTAATCCTGCTGGGCTGCCTCCTGCTTGAAGCTGCAGGATGCCTCAAGTGCTAAGAAAACTCACATGGTACCTCTTGGGTCTGATCAGTTACCTGTTATCTCTCTTCTTTAACCTCAGTCTTCTCTGTCAATGGGGGTATCACACTAGATCAAACGGTTTTTAGTAACAGAATGCTTTCCCTAATTGGAATCTCATTCTAAAGACTGGTGTAGTGGGCTGGAGGTGCAGCTGAGTGGTAAAGCTCTTGCCTAGCATGAGTGTGAAGCCCCAGCACAGGGGAAAAAAACTACCATAAAGTGTGTGTGTGTGTGTGTGTGTGTGTAAGAGAGTAGAAGGCTCTTAGCTCTGCTTGGGGACATCCCTCTTCATTTTCTTTATGGTGAAGTTTTGAGTGGTTTGAAAACCACATAAGCAGACCCCCCCCCCCAAAAAAAGGGCTCCATCCCTGGTGTATGAGGAAGCTGTATGGGGGGCTAGGTGAAGGGGAGCCTCTTAGCCCTTTGGGGCCAGAACCTGGCCTCATACAGATGGGTGCAGGGGCCACCAAACTGGATGGTCTCTCAAGTCTATTGACCTTAGAGAGCAGTGGGGTGAGGGTGGAGACACAATCTGGACTACCAGGGGTGGGAAGGACACAGAGGGCCCAGGCTGGCCTGGGAAGGGACCTGCTCAGGGGACAGGAAGGCCTGCAAAGGCTGCAGTAGGAACATGAAAGTCCCAGAAGAATGTGAGCAGATCCTAATAGAAAAGCTCTAAGTCTTGAGTTTTAAGAACCTTCACCACCTCGGGCTCCTGTCCCCATTCCTGATCATTCTGTTTCCAGTACAGAACCTCAGAATACTAAAAACCACATACTTGTGAATCTCCAACTATTAGAAACACAGAACTTCAAATCTGAATAGTTTTAGAATCCCAGACTCTCAGAGGTTTCCCAGAAATAACAGACACATAAACTCCTGGTAAAGATGACCCAAGAGAAAGTCATGGAGTCCAGTGATGCTCACAGGCCAAGCAAGGCTGGGATCCTTCACAGAATGGGAGCAGCTAGCTGGCCCCCTCCTGGCCCCTGGCCCAGCTCCAGGGGCAGGTTCTCAGAGGAGGAGCACTGGCTGAATAGGGACACCCCAGGCACGCGTGGGAACAGAAAACTTGGAGCCCCTAAGCTTGGACCATCTTTGTTCCACAGACTCTGCAGAGCCCTACCCCTAGGCAAAGAACCACTGTCACAGCCACAGCCACTGGAGAAACCTGAGCTGGCACTCGGACATTCCTGATTTCTCTGCAACCGTCCTTCCTTCATTATGTCAGAGTTCCTCGAAGCAGGGAGTGTGGGAGTCACCCCTCAAATTCCCTATAAAAATGCCCAGAGGAGACAGCATTGAACCTGTCAGAGCCACCAGACCTTGAAAAATCTACTGCCCAGGATACAGATTGGGAGACTGAGGCCAGAGACCCTCTCTGGGTCACAGAATCCTTATATTATGTACCACCATCTCCTGGATACCTTTAAAAACTGCATTTACATCTAAGGACACAGGGGGCCCTGAACCTTAAGCTTAGGAAGGGATGTTGAAGGAATTTCCAAGTGAAATTTTTTCTCCCCTTGCCCATTCCCTCTCCTTACAGAAGATACATGTCCCTTTCTGGGGACCTGGACTTTATGGCAGCCAATTCTGCTCTTTGGGGCTATCCTCCCACTCCATGCACCTCCCCATCAGTGGCCCTAGTGGGTCAGGCCCCCAGCGCTACTGCAAACAGCCCGACCAGGCTGCAAACAGCCTCAAGGAGGCCAAGGAACGATTCCTCCCACATCAATATTTATTGCCTGAGAGCTGCTGGAAGCAGATCATCATGTTCTTGGCCTTCAGTTCTTTTTTAAGAACCTCTCACCCCCTACCCTCCCCATTCCCATCCCTGATGTGCTGACAGAATAAATGCAGACAGCCAGACAGGTTCACAGCCGGGGAGCTGGGGAGCCAGAGAGCCGGGGTTTCAAAGCATCATCACACGCAGCTCTCAAAACCCAACTCTGGGAATCGCAGCAGCTCCGACTCAGGACTGGCACATTCTCGGAATCCGAGGTACAGGGAGTGTTGCTCCAGGCACCTCACACACCAGTGTAGACGGGGAAGTGGCTTGTTGCTCAAGGTCGTACTGCTGACATGTGACCCAGCCTCACACAGGTCGCCCCCTCACTTCTTCCACCTATCTACCCCATGGCCCACTGGTGTTCTCTTTCAAATTTAGGCTCCAACTCAAGAGTATCTGACACAAGCAACCCAGCCTCTTATCCTCCTCTGTGATCACGTTCACTTCTGGGAACTCCTCCCCAATTTCCATTTCCTCCAAACTTTGGCCCTGAGCTAGGCAGAACCGGGAAGGAAAATGTGAAGTCCCCAAGTTGTCTTCTTCCCCTGAAATTGGTCCTTCCCCACACCTGCTTCTGTCTCTGAGACAGTGCACCCCGTCCACGCCTCACTCTCTGGGGCCTCCACAGTACAGCGGCACCCACATCTGGACAGTCCCACTCCCAGGCAGCACGTGGATCCAGCCTCATCCCCTCACTACCAAAGCGCGGCTCCCTGCCTGCTCCACTGCGCAGCTGCTCACCCACCACCCGATCTCCACACACCCCTGGTCCTCCACAGCCCTCTATCTACCCAGCACCGAGATGGACTAGAGATGGACTAGAGCTGCTTACACTTCTTCCCCTGAAGCCACCAGTAAAAACTGTTCTGGCCCCTGCTGGCTGTTCCAGCCTGTTTTCTTGGGTCCGTGTCCACACCCTCTGCTCCAGCCTGGGTGGGATCGGAAGATTCTGTGGGGCAGCTGGACCAGGAGTCAGGCAGGCTTGGGTTCAAACCCCAGCCTCCCCAGGCAGAGACACTTCCGGCCTTCATCCTGGCCCAACCTTCCTTGCTCTAAGGAGGCCCATGCAGCAGCCAACTTGCCACGTGAACCAGAACTCTCCTTGCTGCAAAATATCCAACAGGATTTTTTAAATCGCCCTTCAAAATTAGAATTACTTAGCAACAAGTAGCTTACTTAATTTATGATTGTGATTTTTCGACAACTGCTTTCTATGCTTGGGAAAAGAGGAAATCTATTGCATAAATTTTCAGGATGTAACGACATGTAGTGTGATTGTTAAAGGAGAATTGGTAAAGTTGACATTAGTGACATAAAATTAAACTTTTAAAAAGCATTTCTTTTGCTGGGCATGGTGACACATTCCTGTAATCCCAGCAACTCAGGAGGCTAAGGCAGGAGGATTACAAGTTCAAGGCCACCTTAGACAACCTTAGTGAGACCCTGACTCAAAGTAATATAAAAAAGGCGAAGGGTCTAGCTTAGTGGTCACATCCCCTTAGTTGATTTCCCAGTACTGAAAAAATAAATAAAACGAAAAGGGCTGGGGGTGTAGGTCAGTGGTAGAGAGCTGGCCTAGACGCTCAACGTCTTGGCACTGCAAAGAAACCCAGGATTGCAAAGAAAAGAAAAAAGCATTTCTTTCTCCTCCTCCTCCTTCTGTCATTTTCTTTTTCATTTGGAGTCAACTTATTGTCTTTTATACCTTGTGTTTTTTGTGAGTTACTAGAAAACGTGGAGTCCCCTGGCTCAGGATGGTCTCTCCCCTCCAAGGCTCGCAATGTCCTGCCTCTCAGCCAGCTTTGTGACCTTAGGCAAATCCCTGCACCTAGTTAGGCCTCTGAGAAGCCCACCCGCTCTGAGAGGTCAGCAGGACATTCGGTGGCTGTCCCTGTGCATCCTGCCCACTGCTGGTCCTCACCCAGGAGTCTTCTCCTTGCCATATGATGCCCGCTTTAAGGGTAGAGACCGTGTTCTGACCTCCAATGTCCAGTCTGGATCCTGGCCCAGAAGAGGCACTCAGTGCACATTTGTCCCCTTCACTGTCCCCAAAAAGGTCAGGTTCACTTCTATAGCCAACCTCTCTGTCCTCCACCTAAACGGCTGCCCCTCTCGTTTCTGGGCTTCCACCCATCCTTCACATCCAGCTCAGGTCCTTCCTCTTCCAGGAAATCCTCCCAGACCCATCCTCTGTGCCCGGCAGTCCTTAGCCTTCCTACAGAACATTCAGAATTTACAAAACTAAGTGAACAGCTGGGAAGGACGTGGACTCAGGCAGGCCTGGGTGCTCCCTTGCCACCTTGGATCCTGGGTAAGTCATTTCCAGCTCTGGGCCTGGAGCTCCTCAGCCATGGAAGGAGCTGATGGCACTGGCTGTGGGGCTGGGGAGGTGCCCCGACAGAAAGGATCTTGGTAAGCTTGACACACAGAGCCCCGGAGGGAGGACGTTCAGTACTACAGAGGAAGACACATAAGTGGAGGGCGGAGCATGGGCTAGGACAGGGACACAGGGGCTTACCTTGCTGACAGGTGACGCTGCATCTGCCAAGACCTTTCGCCGGCACCTAAGCTCATGCGTCTCCTTAGGCATCTCCCTGGGGAAGAAGAAGTAGGGGCTGGCAGCCAGTGCCACCATGCCAGCTGAGATGAGGAAGCCCAGCCACCAGGCACCCACCCATCGGGGGTCCTTTGAGGTCAGGTTGATACCACCTGTAAGAGAAGACCATGGAGACATCAGGGTCAGGTGGTCTGTCATATCTAGGTCACCACCCTGGGTCTGGCTTTTGAGACATGAGTCAGTGCCAGCTCGGAGTCAGGAGACCTGCCTCCTGCTCTTGATTCTGCCATTATGTCTTGTGTGACCTTGGGCAAGTCCTTGACCCTTTATGGGCCTTAGCTTTTTCACTTCTTCTGTGCAGTGGTCAAAATCATGGACTTTGGAAATGGATTACTGGGTCTGGATTCCATTACTAACTTATGACCTTGGGCAAGTTATTTCACTTCTTTGAGCCTCAGTTTCTTCCTGCGGTGACATACAGATATTAGTAGTTTTTAGGGGGAGTGCTAGGGATAATAGCTTTTTTGTTTCCTATCATAGCGTTTTTGGAGAATTATGGAAACTAATACATGTAAAACTAAAAGAAAAATTTAATTAAATTTTTAAAAAATCTACCAAAAAATACATGTAATTAGAAAAGTAGATATATTATATAAATATTTGCTCCTCTTCTTTTTCCTTCTCTTCCTATTACCATTACTTTTTTGATTATTAATATATTAAATAATGGTCGGGACTCAGGCCTACATGAAATTCCGGGGCTGCTGATCAAAACTACTTGGCTTCCCAGAAGTCCTACTTGGAATGACCAAGAAGTGGGGTGGGGGGTGGAAGGTGACCGAGGAATGTGCACCTTTAACAAGTTCCCTGGATGGATTTGATTCCCCACCAGGCTTAATTAGGATTGGATTATCCCTGATGTACCTGCTGGTTGTAGTGCACAAATCTGCCCTGGGACTTCTTAAACCCCAGGCTGAGATGGGGACCTCCCCCTTCAATATCCACAGCATCTGCAGATATTTATAAAACTGCAAATGCATGATAACAGCAACCACCAGTTGTGCAGCTGTTTCCCCAGGTGCTTGGCCTTCAGCGGCTCCTGGGCAGGGGCCAGGGCACCCAGTTGGCACCCAGCAGTCTGGGAGAGCTGTGGCTTTTGCATTCACAGGACTTGGTTTGTTCGTCGCTTGTTATCTGCCTTGCTTTGGTGCCAGGCTGAGGCGAGTTCACACGCACAGCTCCTCGACTCCCCCGCTCACAGCATCAGTCTGTGCCTGAAGCAGGCAAAATCCTCCCACCTTACGAAATCCCCCATAAAGAAAGAGGGACTTGGGAAGTGGCATGTCGGTCTACAGAAATGTGTCATCTGCCAGTGGAGCTGCCTCGTCTTCCAGGATGAATGCCCACACGGTCAGAAAACACATCCTCTTCCTCCAGAGCAGAGGTGTATCTGGCAAACCTAGGTAACCCCTGACTCCCAGGGAGGAGAGGGGTTGCAACCAGAGTCCAGGTCTGGCTTTGGGGCTAGAAGAAAGGGAGGCAGGACATGACTGATCCTAGTGACTGCTGTACAGAGACCCCCCAGACCCGTCCTTGCTGAGGCACCCATGGACAAGAGCTAGAGAAAATCCAGCCAGCCATGCGCATGTCACCCAGGGCTTCTAGGACCTGTTGGAAAGTCTCCAGGGGAGGTAGAGAACTTCTGAGCAGCAGTAGGCAGAAAGCCAACCTGAAGCTCATAGCTGCTGGTGTGACAAGCAGGGACATGAGAAGCCACAGTGACATGCTCTAACAGGAATACCCTTCTATCCCTTCCCTGCCCCAGAGCTCCAGAGCTGTGGCAACCCCAACACCCATCYCCCTCGCCACCTCAGACCAAGCTAGAGCCCCAATCCTTGGTGCACTCTGACCTCTAGCTGGATCAGAGACTACTGTTTCCCAAATGGTGCCCCCAGCAATTTCTCAGACTCTGAGGTGATCAGAGCTAGAAGGTTCCCTAAGGCCCCCCCCCAGCAATGTCCCCCTCAAAGTGACACATGAGTCACTGAGTCCTGCTCATTCTTCCGTCGTCCTCTCTGTTCTGCCTGAAACTTGTACCCCACTAAATATGGGAGCTTCCCACAGGCCAAGAGAGCCAGTTCTCCTCCTTGTCCACAGCAATAGCAGGTCAGGGTGGCGGCCTGGAGGTGGGTGGGCAGGTGACAAGGTGAAGGCTTGTGACAGCGAGCACAGCTCTCATTAGATGGCACTTTACAGTTTCTCTTCACTACCTCGCTGGATTCTGGTTGCAGCCTTGGAAGATAGGACAGAGATGACCTCAAGGATGAGGAAGCAGAAGCTCAGAGAGGGTAACAGGTCAGTGGTGCGGCTGGGTTTGAACTTAGGTCCCCCGACTCAGCATCTATACAACCAGCAGTCAGTGAGCTAGCATCTGTATACTCCTGGGGACAAATGTTCATGCCTGAGACTCACCTTCTGGCATCCGGTCAATGTCCACATAAAGGCGAAGCATGAGGCTGCCCAGCCCATAGGCCATGCCTGGCCCCATCATGGTCACTGCAAAGAGGATCCCTGCAACACAAAGCCTAGGTTAGGACCTTCTGGCCCTGGCTTTCCTCAGCAGGTCGGGGCCTGTCTAGTCCTCAGTGGGCAAGAAGTGCCCACTCTCACTCTCAGAGCTGGGGACTCTCCAGGGCTTCTCTGGACCTTTACTGGCCTGATGGGGTGGAGGTCAGGGACTCAACACTCAGCCCCCACCCCAGGCCTCTCTTTCTCCTACCTGACATTGGCCTGACCCTCAGAGCCCAAGGAGTTGGTGGGTCCTTACCAAGGTAGAGGGGAGAGTTGCTGTGGTGGGCAAAGTCATCGATGTAGGAGATGCCGAAGGGCTGAATGGGCACTCCACCCACGCCAAGCAGGGTCTGAGCTATGAACATGATCCCCACCACGCTGAGGTGCTGGGCCTCCGTGTAGCTGGAACAGCTGCCATTGGAGGGAGTGGGGGCCGGGGCTGAGGTCATGGGCAGGCACAGGGAAGCCTCAGAGTCCTGTGACATATCCTCTGAGAAAGAATAAAAATGGGATCACAGCTAAGACAAGAGCACTTACCAGACTTTCGCAAATCACTGTTCTAAGCACTTTATACCAATCATTTGATCCCCTGGCAAACCTAGGGTACAGGTGCGCTCAGTACCCCATTTCACACACAAGGAAACTGAAGCTCAGACAGCAATCAGCAARGGGCAGAGACAGGACAGGACCCCTGGTGCTCTGGCTTCAGAGTCCCTGACCTCAGAGCCCCTGACCTCAAATTGCCCTGTGTCAACTTCGTAAGCAGAGGCATCCGGAAGAGCCATGCAATGGTGGGGTGAAGAGGTCAAAAGAGGTAGAGTTTTTAAGTCCAGAAGAACAAACAAACAGGATTTTCCAAAAAGAGAGGGAAGGGCAGTGTTCCAGGGACAGGTCACGGTACAGGCAAAACCCTGAGCCGTGTGAGGACTCCGTGTCAGTAGAATGAGAAGTTCAGAACGGTGGATCATGAAGTGGGAGAGGCCAGACCAGGGCTTCTGACAGGGCCAGGCAGGGAAGGCAGTGCCCTTGTCATTCATTCTGGGGAGGGAGCACTGTCAGCTCAGGACACAGACGCGGAGTACAGGAAAGGACAAGTTCTTAATTTAGTACCAGATGCCTATTCCCTGTAGCTCACCAATATTTGGTGAGCAAACTTGAGGAGATCTTCACACTATTATTATCTCGGGTTTTTTGGTATAAACATGGCCCTCTCTCTGCAAACTTCCTTTTGTGGGATCCAGGACTCCAAGGGCCACTCCAAGGGCCATGGATCCAGGCCTCTATCAGAGGCTGCCCCGGCCTTGCTGTGTGACGTGGATGAGATCCCTCTGCTCCTCACCTCTGAAATGGATCTCCTAGAACTGATTCTCTAGAGATGAAGGACTCAAAAGCAGAATAATTCGGGAGTTCAGAGCAGGGCTCTGGGCACAGTTGACTAGCTGTGGGCCGGGGAGCTTCTCTTCTCTGAACCTCAGTGTCCTCACTAGTGAAGAAATAATGATGGCACCTGCCTCTAGGGGTTCTGACACAAATGGAGAGTGATGCACCCGCCCCGGGTCTATTGGACATTAGATAATGGTGATTATTCTAAAGATTGTATTTGCCTTTCCCACCCCTGAGTCTCCAGTGGCTCACAGATGGCCTGCCACATAATACTGAGCAACATAAATACTAGAGGAAGGTGGAAGGATGAATGAAGTAGCCAGGAGTGTTCCAACAAGAAGGGGGCTCAGAGATCATGAGTCTCGCCCACTTGTTCAGCCAACTGCGTGACCCTGCACAGAAAAGCTGTGTTAAAGTGGAAATTCTCAGCAAAGAAATGCATGGAAGTATTATTTTTCAGCCTTCCAAGAAGTCCTGTAGGTAACTGATGGTGGTTATCCATTAGGCCTGGATAACCACCCACATGCTTCAGGTGCACTCTACTTCCCCACTTCTCTGGCCCTGCCCATGCCCCACCCTCCTCCTGCAATGCCCACCTTTTCTCCAGGGCAGCCACCGCCCACCTCCTGGCAGCTCCCTGCAGCTGGGAATGTCTTTCTTCAACCCAGACTTCTAATGGCTCCCTCCCAACGTCTCCTAAGGTGCTGGGCTCTGGACCTTTTAGCAGAATCGTCCACGCTGACCCCAACCCGCACTGAACTGGGGCATGTCTGCTTCATCTTCTCATCCCTGGGCTTAGCAGCTCCAGAGGTGAGGGCTACTAGGGAGGCGAGGGAGGACGGGTGTTCTCCGACAGCTCTCCTGCCCTGGGGAACTTCCTGATGCTTGGCAAGGGCACAGCTCCCTCCTTGGCCTCCCCGCATCCCTGTGTCTCTCTCCTCCCACAACTGACACATTGGGCTTTGTATTTGTCTCTTTCCCAGACTGGGAGCTCCCTGGGGGCAAGGACCGAGTCCCCCAGAGGAGGCAGTTTCGTTCTGGTTGGCTGGGTGGCTGGGTATGTGGGTAGGTGGGAGGATGGATGGGCAAGTAGATGAGCAGGAGGGTGGATAGGTGGATGAGCAGGCGGTGAGCCGGAGAGTGGGAAGGGATGGAGCRAATGCTCAGCTGCTTTGGTGGTTCTCTAAGGGACAGGTGTCTGACTGTTAAGGAAGCCCACAACAAAAATCCCACTGGGTTGAACAAGATGCCGCTATTCCTGACTTAAACTCTTTCATTTTCTTATTTGTTCTCTCACTCATTCCTTCTTTCTTTCACCACTGTCTTGTGGGGATAAAATGCACGAATACACAGAAAGTGCTTAGACTGGTGACCAGTGGAGAGGAGCTGCTGTGGGATACTRTTAATTTCTACAAGTATTTCTGAGCACCAACAACATGCCAGGCCCTAAAGCAGGCTGCATGGTAAATTGGCCTCTACCTCAAATAAGCTACAGGGGCATGAGCTGGCCCTGACCAAGAAAGGCCTGCAAGGGTTCACCCCTTTACCCTGGGGCTACCCCCTGCTTCCCTCCCCAGGCCTGCCAGAGACACCCACCTGGGCTGGGCCTGGGGAGACAGTGGGGGTGGATGGAAAGAACTGGGAAGTGTCCTGGGAAGTGGGGACCCGTCTTGTCAAACCTTTAAATCACATCTGAGCCTGCAGATGGGCCCTGGTGCACAGGACTGTCATGCCTCATGTTGGTCTCCTGCCCTGCCCCTCCGGCTCTTACCAGGGCTGCTGTGGTCGTAGCGGTATGGCTCCGAGATAAAGTGCGGGAGAGTCATCAGCAGGCCTGCCAGGGCCACCAGGACAGCCCCACAGCCAATCATACGGGGTCGGTGCACTCGGCTGCCGAAGTAGCTCACAAACACAATCAAGGCTGTGTTCCCCACCTACAAAGGGATGAGGTGACCCATCAGAGTGGACCCAGAGGCAAGGGCCTGCACCTCCATGCTCCTATCTGTGTAATGGACTGGCTGGATGAATAAGCATTATTTTGATCTCTCTTATAAACATAGATTCTAGGTCCTCCTAGGAAGGATCTCACTGCCCCTTTAGGGAAGAGAAATGAGCACAAAGCTAGAAGATCAATTTCATTTAGGAACAGGGAGGAGAATGGGCAGTGGAGAAAAATTTTTGATTTTGAGCTTCAGGACTTCATGAATGAGAGACTCAACAGAGAAAGTCTGAAGCCAGAGAATTAAGGCTTGGAATTTCAGACCTTTAAATCACAATCGTAGGGTGCTATGCTAGAGGGGACTTGTGACCAGGTGTGCGGGCTCACGCCTATAATCCCAGTGACTCAGGAGGCTGAGGCAGGAGGATTATGAATTTGGATGAATTATGAATTATTAATTTGCATGGGCAACTTAACAAGACCCTGCCCTAAAATAAAAATTACAAGGGCTGTGAGATGTATTTCAGTGATAAAACAATCTRGGTTCAATCCCCAGTACTGCATAAAAGAACAAACAAACAAGTAAATATATTTTAGAAAGGATCTGTGAGATTGCAAGGGAAGGTGTACCTTTGCCCCCGGACTTCCTGGCCCGTGACTGTGGGCAAGCTGCAGGGTCCGGGGGGTGAGGGAGTGGGGCCATATCAGCACAGGTTGTTGGTGGAACTGGCTCTGGGAAGGACGGTCATTGTCCATTTTATGGATGAACTGCCTTTCCCTTCTGAGATTTGGGGGTGGGGTGCTGAGGCACATTCTGGGACACTGCAGCTGGAAGGCTTTAGGTCCGGAGGAATATGACACAGTACCCAAGGGAGGGAGTTTCACAGAAATCTGCAGGGGAGGGGCGGAAAGAGACTGATTCCTTCTCTGAGGGTGAAACATCTGTCGGGTGGAGGGCTGGGCACAGCTGGAATCTGATCTCCTAATCCACCAGAGCAGCTATCCACTCCTCCTGTCTGGCTGTGGGCTGCAGGCAGAGGCCTGTCTGCTGCTCCCAGGACAACTCTGAGGACAGACACTCCTCCAAGGCATCACCCTGCCACACTCCAAGGTCGGAGARTGCCCTGGCTGTAATTAAAGCCTCTCTGGAGACAATAGAAGTGACTTTCTCAAATTCCTTCTTGGGACAGCCAATAGCTAGGTGTCTGAGAAAGTAAAGGAGGCCAAAGATGAGTGGATGGGTTGGGGACTCTGCCTAGCTCTAAAACATCTGGTGCCCTCCAGCCAAGTGCTTCTAAGGGCAAGGCCGCAGGGTCTCAGAGAACAGCTGCTAACAGGATGACAGTTGGGGGCAGGAGGGGCCTGCTCTGTCAGCACTATGGCTGGCCAGTTTCTGGGCCAGGACAAGGTAGGATGAGAAAGCTAAGGAGGGTTTCAGGGAGGGCAGTGTTGGAGGGCTGCTCTGGGCCTGGGAAGGAAAGAGTAGTAATAGAGGAGGTTGGTGGAATCTAGGGGTGTGAGCCTCCTTTGGGGTCCACCCCTGTGGCTGGGCCAGGGCCAATACCTCATTGAAGGCGGCCAGGAGCCCCGAGGTCTGGCTGGAGAGGCCAAAGCGTTTCTCCACTGTGGAGATGGAGCTCTTGAGGTAGCCGGAGATCATGAGCTGTGCCAGCTGCAGCAGGCTGTGGCATAGGACGAAGAACTGCAGGAGGAACACAGAGGTGGCCACGGGTGGAGGGACCGGGAGACAGAGGAGGATACAGTCGGAGACGGGAGGTGGCGGGGAGACAGAGGGATGGAACAGAGGAGGATGAGGACGGGAGAGGATGAATGAAGGGGTAGGGATGGGGGAACCAGAGTCAGATAGGTGGACAGAAAGGGAGGGAGAGAGAAGAGAAAGGAGACAGAGACCGAAGTGGATGTGTCAGGGTGGGGTAGGAATGCACAGGTCGGGGTGGGGTGGGCGTGGGGGGTACTTAGTTATTGGAATAGCCCAAGGCGTCTCACATAGGCCTCAAAACTACACAAACTGTCCTGGGGTCTAAGGGCTACCAGAGATCCATGTGGCTCAGAGTAGAATCTCCACAGGGCCAGGAATGGTGGGGGCCCTCTTGACCCTTAGAGATCCACTCACACCGACCTGGCCCTTCCTCCCTGTTTTACCACCCTGCCCCTTTCCAGGAAACTCTCCCAAATTGGCCCATCTCCTTTCCCACCCCACTGTTACTCAGTTCTCCCTAGAGCTACTGCACTGGGGACCACCCACACACACCGAATCCCCAAGCCACCCAACCCTACCCCACCCTAAACATCCCGGTCTGTCTGTGCTCCTCCTGCTAAAAAACTGGCAGAATTCCTAAGAAAACTTGCTTCAAAGAATTAAAAAAAATAGAGTATTTATGTTAGAGCTTAATCTATTCACTTCAAGCCGCATGTGGGGGTGCACACCTATAATCCTGGCTACTCAGGAAGGCTGAGGCAGGAAGATAGCAAGTTCAAGGTCAGCCTGAGCAACTTAGTGAGTCTCTCTCAAAATAAAAAATAAAAGGGCCAGAGGAAATAGCTCAGTGGTAGAGCACCCTGGGATTCCGAAAACGAAAAATCATGCACGAATACCACCTGGCACAGGGTCTGGCACCCAGTGGGTGTCAGTGACAGTGATGCTGGATGATTAGTGCCACCCTTGTGGAGCCAGGCCTGCTTGGGCACTTCGTTTCTCTAGAGAAACAGGAGGCGAGTGTCCTGGTCCTCCACTGTCCACAGGACAACCCCTCTTTCATCGCTGGAAGGAAAGGACATGTTCTGGACACTGTCTATGAACCCCAATCCAAGCTAAAAAGTGTTTTCAGAAATTGTCCCCTTGATCCTCACAACCAAGGGCCCTCCAGGTGAGGAAACAGAGGAAGGCAGAAACCGGCCTCATGACACAGCCCAACCTGCAGGGCTGGAGGCCCGGCCCCGTCTGGCCTGAGAGGTACCTTGATGCTGTGAAACACACGAGGTCTCAAGTTCTGAGGCTCTGAGCTGGCTTTGCTTCCATATGTGTCTTCTGTGTCCATGGTGGCCTTGCTGTCCTTGTCTGGCATCTGGGGCCCCTCGCCTGCTGGCCCTGTGGGACAACAGCCAGGGGATGAGATGAAATTCCAGAGAATGGCCCTGACCTCAGTTTCAGGGGGAAGGGACTTTGGAGGTTGGTGGGAATCTGAGAACCAGAGCACTCTCAGCCTCCCTGGCTCCTAGTGCTGGAAGGAACCTTCCTAAGAGGGGGCGTGTGCCCTGTGTTGTGAGCCAGATCTCACTGAGGACCATCTCCTCTACACCCTCACTGTTCCCAGCATAAACCTCCCTTCTGAGGAGAGGCTGCAGAGCTCTGCACACAGCAGGCCCTTGAGCAGTGGCCCTGTCACATCGCAGGATGAGCCACAGGGTTTCAGCCACCTTGGGCTTCCAGCTAAGGCAGTCTGTCTGTCTTCTTGCAGGCTGAATCTGGGCTTGGGTGGGTCTGGCTCAGTCCAGGACCAGGGGTTTGGGGTCAAATGTGGGGTCAAGGCTTGGCTCAGAGTCAGGGAATAAAGGCTTGGGTGTATTTTGGAACAGATACCAACCCCCCTCCATGGTCTCACCCTGCATGTGGTCAGAGCTAACCAGTCCACTCCCTGGATCATGCCATGAAACCTGGTCAGTGCTGAAAGGACCGTCAGAGCTCAACTCATTTCACCCCCTTCTGGACAAACAGAGACCAAGTGGGACGATGACTCAGAAGGCAGAGTTGTCTTGGCCCCTTGGGCTCCATTGCTCTTGTTGACTTTCCTCCCATGGTAACTATGGCAACCATGTCAGCATCCCACTCTCACAGTGAGAGCAGCCAGATGGCCCTCAGAGGCACCCCTAGGCTCTCCTGACTGACTCTTCATGGGGAGCCCGGAAGTCCAGTCTTGGGAGACAGTCTGGCGGTTTAGATGGAGACCACCTGCCTCTCCTGGCAGCCCAGGCCTCCCATCCTCCCCTCGGAGGCTCCACTTCCTGCAGGAGGCCCCTCCATTGTTTCCCGCCCCTCCCACAGCAGGCAGCAGCTTCCCCTCATTCAACAGGCTTCTGAAACCTGGAAGCTGACCTGGGGACACTCTGGCCCCATGGACTGCCTCCCACCCAGTCTCCAGMCTTGGAAGACCAACTTGGGGAGGGCTACCGAGGCCCAGAACCAGGTTTTGTGCCCCTCACACAAGGTACCTGGGAACCTGAGGACTCTTTTTAAACATTGAGATTTAATTCCCACGTCATAAAATCCACTCTTCAGAAGTTCACAATCCACTGGTTTTTACTCTATTCATAAAGCTGCACAACCATCAACGCTATCTAATTGCAGAACATTTTATTACCCCAGTAGGAAGCCCCATATCATTAGCAGCTGCTCCCCATTTCTCCCAACCTACAGACCCAGCAACCACTAATCCACTTTCTGTCCCTATGGGTTTGCCTGCTCTGATGTTTAATACAATGAAATTGTACAACATGTGGCCTTTTATGACTGGCTTCTTAACATAGTATCTTCAAGGTTGGTCTCTGTTATAACATGTATCAGTGCTTCATTCCATTTTATGACTGAATAGTACTCCATTGTGGGCATAAATCAGTTTATTCATTAATCGGTTGATGAACACCTGGGTTGTTTCAGAGATTATAAGGATTCATGTACCAAGTTTCTGGTGACAAACATGTTCAGTCCTCTTGGGTCTATAACTAGGAGTGCAATCACTGGGTTGTATGGTAGGTAGTTCTATGTTGAACTGTTTGAGGACCCACAGAACTGTTTTCCACAGTGGCTGCCCCATTTTACATTCCTGCCAGCAATCTATGATGGTGCCAATTTTTCTATACCTCTGTTAACACTTGTCACTGTCTGTCCTTTCACTGATAGCCATCTAGTAGGCATGGCATGGTGTCTTCTGTGTGGTTTGGCTACTGATGGTGAGCGTCTTTTCACGGGCCTCTTGGCCATTTGTGTAGCTCTGGTGGGCACTGTCTGTGCCAATGGCTTGAGGAATTTGAGGGAGGGGATGGAAGCGCATGTGTCTGGGGAAGAGCTCTGTTTTTGGACATAAACACTTGGAGGAAATAAGAAAAACCAACACCTGGCTGGGAGGAGCCTGKGGGTTAGCCCAGGAAGGGAAGTGTAGGGAGATTCTGCAGAGGGCACCTGAAGGACAAGAGGAGATAAGGCTGTTCAAAGCCAATGTCCCAGAGACTGAGAGGACCATTTCTGAGCCTCAGCTTTTCTCACCAGCAGAGACCTGTCATCTGCCACCATCTGGATTCTATGCCACAGCTTCAGCCCAAGAACCTCTCCAGGGGTCCGTGCCTCTCAGACTTTATTGTCTGTGCTTCTAATGAGGATACCCAAGCTCAGAGGAACCCCATTCTGCTGGTGGACCCTTGTCCAGGGGCTCAAGCTTAACATCCCTTGATGTCCCTTGAAGAGGTTTGCTGAGGGAAGGAAGCGCAGTCCTCTTCTCTGCCTTGCCCCACCTCGTAGGCTGCCCCGAGGCCAGGCCAATGCTGGGAGGGCCAAAGACATCCACCTGAAGCCCCGGCTCCAAAGGAAATTCAGGAATGGATAGGGGAGGGACAGGCCAGCTGAACACATGTGGCCCCTGGGGCACAGCGGAGGTCAGGTGACCATCCTGAAGCTTCCACCTCACCTCCTCTGCCAAAGCTCAAAGTCTTCCTGGGATTCCTCTACCCTCTAGCAACATGGCTGCTACYGAGGACAGGGTCCACAGCCTTAGCCTCTGGATGAGGGAAGGAGCACTGGCCAGGTCCTGGGCTCCAAGAGTAGTGATGGCCCCCAGCATCTACCAGCTGGAAATCTCATTTACTAGGCAGCTGGCTGGCCAGGGCCTCCTGCGCGGCCACCCCTGTGAGCAGGAGTCTGTATGTTTCCTTCCAGCTGAGTCCAGTGATACCGGACAATGTTTCAGAGACCAGCCTGAAGGCAGGAGAGCCTAGGGGTGCTCTGCCTGGTCTCTGCTGGGAAGGCTCAGGAAAGGACCTTGCCTCTTTCTACTTCCTCCACAGGCAAAAAGCAAATTCCAGGGAAATGTGGAACTGAGTATATAGGCTTTCTGCCCTCAGACTGTGTTGGRATCCCCGCTCCAGCACCCTGGGCTCTGTGTGAGCCTGACACACCTCTTATCCTTCTCAGCCTGTTGCCTCACCTGTAAGGAGAGGATGATTGYATCTACAAAGAGGGTTTAGGATGTGCTACCCCCAAATATGGCATGTTGGCATTTGAGAAAGCAGAAGCAGAAGGGCCTYACCAAACCCTGTCCTTCTCCCTTCCAGCAGACATAAGACCTAGGAAGGTCACTGACCCTTCCCCTCTGAAGTATGTTATAAAACCCTCATTTGAAAGTTACCTTCCCTATATACAGAGAGAAGGCACATCCTTATCTTTGAAGATACAGAGAAGACTCAAAACAAACAAGTTTGCTAAATTCCCCTCAGTTCATTACTGTTATCTCATACAGCCTTTGTCCAATCATACTTCWCCACATTTATAGAGCTCTTCATCAAACTTTGCATAAAAAATATACAGGTTTCCCCATTTCTTTGGATCATCATTATTGAAGGCTCCCACGTCATGTACAATTTATATTAAATAAGCTGGGCATGACGGTGCACACCTATAATCCCAGCAACTCAGGAGGCTGAGGCATGAGGATTACAAGTTTGAGGCCAGCCTCAGCATCTGAGTGAGACCCTGTCTCAAAATAAGAAATCGAAGTGCCCAAGGATGTAGCTCACTGGTAAAGTRCTCCTGGGTTCAATCCCCAGTAACAACAACAATAAAATAATATTAAATAAACGTGCTTTTCTCTTAATCTATCTCTTTTTTTAATTTGAAAATGAGTTGCTTTTATTTACTGTTAGAAACAACTTTAGGAAAACAATTTGCATCCCTCCATAGGGGGACTTGCTTAAGTAGCTAAGAAAATAGCTGTTGTATGAGAAAATATGTAAACTAGCTTCACTGCCCCCAGCCTCGTTTCTTCTTATCGATCTTGGGTTAATCTATTTTTGTTGTCGATGTCTCAGCCATGGATCTAGTGGTGGAAGGGGACAAGAAATCATTCCTTCCCTGCACCGAGGGGATGATGTAGGTAGGGCACCTGGCTCCCTGCCTGGCACACGGTGAGCCTTGTTTCCCTCCCCTTTCCTGACAAATCWTCAAGCACCCCTAAGGTAACATGGTCCAACGGGAGCCGTCCCCTTCCACGTACACAGTGATGCTCATGGTGTCCTCCTCCAAGGGAACTCTTTTATCYGAACATTGCCATCGTCCATCTCTGGATTGGCTCTCTCTCTCTTGCCCAAGCCCCAGTCACTGACAGGTCTGAGGACCTGGACCCCTCCTCTTCATGCTCCCTCTGCAGCCCCACCATGTGGCCTTAGGTCAGCAGCCCCTTGGATTCCTYATCTGCAATGCAGTGACTATGAGCCCTCCTCCCGGGCACACAGCAGTCACTGAGAGCCTAAAGGGTCTACCTGGCAGCTGACCTGGGCGCCTGCGTCCCCTGAAACCACACCTTCCTCTCCACACTGCCCTGATGGTGCCATCCCTTGTTTCTCCTCCCGGCCTTCCTGGCCCAAGCAGACAGATGGACTGTTCACTATGGGGTYTTCATGAAAGTCCCCRACCAACTCATCAAGAGAACCCATCWGTAAACTGCTGGCCTTTGAGTCCCTTCCCCAAATCTTCTCCTTGCCGTAGTTTCCAACGCTGATCCCGTCCTGATCAACCCCACCTTCTATCCTGCACCGAAAGGCTTCAGAACACAATTTGTCTTTCTTCATAAACACCCACCTTCCTCACCCCCGTGGTGGAGCCCGTAGTGCTGTCCGCAATATACTTTGCCGCGTGGACAGGTTGTGCTGGTCACGCCTGGAGAGCCAGCAACGACAGGATGAATGTTGGTGTTCACTAAATGTTGCTCCTTTCCCTATCAGGCGGCCAGTCCTTCTGTCRGCTGTCTGTCCTTCTGCCACAACGCTCCCCCTCCCCCAGCTTCCAGACTTGCTTTGTGGCAGCAACAAGCACTGCTACATGGA